TCTCTGTGGGATTTTGGAATTTTGTGGGCGTCACGCTTTATGCCCTAGCTACCAAGGGGGACCGTCTCGTGGTGTGCCTGCTTTCTGTGTGATTCTCAGAACGCTCAAAGCCAAAGAGCAGCAACTGCCGGCGCTCGGCCCCTCCCTGGCCTTGCTGGTGTGGCAGGAATCCGGGGGGTCCGGGGCCACTTCACTGTGCAGGATCCCTTCCCTAACCGAGACTGCTTTTAACTCCCTCACCCTGGGGATGGAACGCCAGGGTGGAACCTGTGCCAGACACAGAGGCAGTGCAAATCGCAACCCCTGCCCCTTCGTGTTCCTTCCGCTGTCCTCCCGCAGACTGCCCTAGAATGGAACTCGACACAAGTTACTCAGCTACCCTGCATTCCCTTCTGCGTCCTCTGCTTGGGATCCCTCTCGGATCTCCCCTGCCTTTCCTGCTCCTCACCACCCCAACCTCTCTCCTGTCCATCTGAATATCGTGTTGTATTACCTGCTAACCACCCTGCTAACGTCTATGCCACCAGAGGCACCATGCTGCCTAAACGGTCGCCCTTCAACTGCACCCCACCGTTCCTGACTACAACTCCCAGCATGCCCCGGGCCACGCCCCTCCTGGGCACTCAGAGCCACGCCCACCGTGCTCCCGGAAAGCGCTGCTGTGCAACATGGCTGTGCCAATGTCCCCATGACTGTGCCTGCGCCAGAGCACCAGCTCTGCCTTTACCCTTCCAGCAATAACAACACTGTACTTGCATCCTCCCCTCTCCTCAGAAGAAAACCTAATCCCTTCTAGAGCCAGTGATTCCACTGATCTGTGGCCGAAGAGCCAGACTAGTATGGTAAAGAACAGAAGGGGAAGAGCTGGTCCTACATGGGAACCTCGAGCCTACAGGGAAATACAAAGACTGTAAGGCTGCCAAAAGCTATGGACAGGCTTCTCCTTTCTTCAGCAGTCGAATGCAAGCTATTTTCACTGCATATCTTTTAGGCCCTCATGACTTACAGCGCGTGATGACTGTGCTGCTGTCTCTGGCTGAATTCACCCTGTGGGAAAGGGGGTGGAAGAGATTGTTACATCAATTGTTGCATGTTAAATCAGTTGTTGCTTTACAGCGCTGAGGACCAGGCACTGGCAATGCTAACACTAGAACACTCAGCTGGGCAGGGAGCTCATACCCAGCCCCAAGATCAGGCTGCAAACTTCCCAAAGCCAGTCTTGATGATATTAAAAATGCAGCAAGGAAAGCACTCATGCAAATCCCTAATGGTAACACACCTGCTCCAGACTTTGTAGATATAAAGCAAAAGCCTAGTAAACCATGCATAAAGGTAAAGTTTTGGCACCCCCTCACCAGAATCATCCACAAGCAATTGTTTATCATTATATGGATAATATGCTTATTGCAGCTGAAAATGATCCATTTTACATTCAACTTTGAAAGTCACCCTCACAGCCACCCAACAAGCTGGACTGACCATTGCAGAGGAAAAGATACAGCAAACATCACCCTAGAAATATTTGGGACTTAAAATTCTCTCTCAGACTGTTACAAACCATTAATTAGGTTAAACATTTGATAAAGATAATGAATAAAGATTTAGTCCTGTTGTTTGTTTTCTTACATGACTTTTTAATTTGGTAGCTGATTCTGCTTATTTTACAGGTATTGTTGAGGGAGCTGAAAATTCATTCCTGGAGACAGTTACTAATGACCAGTTATACTCCTTGCTTAAAACTTCAATTTTTATCCTTTCTCAGGAACAGCATCCCTATTTTGTCATGTATGTACATTCTCATTCTTCTTTGCCAAGATTCCTAACAGAAGGTAATAAACAAACTAACACACAATGTCACTACATGCCCTGAGTGCCAGAAATATTCTCTGCTGTCTGTTGGGGCAGGAGTAAATCCTAGAGGGCTTCACAGTTTACAGATTTGGCAAAGCATGTGACCCATTATGTGTCTTTTGGTTGCTTTAAATGTATACATGTTTCCATAGAAGATTCTCAGGAGCAATCTTTGCCTCCGCTCACAAAGGTGAAAGAGCAAAAGATGTTATTAAACATTTCCTACAAGGAAATTTCATCTCTAGGAATCCCACAGGAACCAAAAAAACGAGATCATGGGCCTGCCTATGTCTTTTACCCCTTGTCCCATGTCTTCACTTGTAGCTGTTTATTCTCACATCTTTGGTGCACAGATTTCAGCATTGGTGACATTTTATTCCTCAAGAAAAGTTACTAATTTAACATTGGAACTATTGCCTTTTTCCTTAGCAGAACCTTATACAGGTTAATTTAACCTTATTTAATCTGCCCATCAGGCAAATGAGTTCAAATACCCAGAACTTAACACAACTTAATCTTTTCAGTGGTGTCTGCCAACATAAATAGTCTGGATGCAGATTTCCCCCCAGAGAGATATTTTGTCAAAAGCAGCAGAAATTCTTGGTGTTCTCCACAATCCTTGGACATTGTGCAGAGAAACACTGACTACTTGTAAACAGTCCTTAATCACTTAGGCAGATGTTTCTCCTTCCTCAGTCTGCTCCAATTCTCTGATTTAGCTGTAACTTGCGTATTCCAGAGCATTAGAATGACAAAATCTACACAATAGCCTATGAGAGAAAGAGGAGGGACATAATATTTAGGAATATTTAGGGAAATTATATTCAAGACTGACAAGATGAAACACATTTGGAGTTTGGGATTCTGTACAAAAACATCCTCCAGGAATTCTATGAGAACCTTCAAATTTTTAGCACTTTCTCATCTGCAAATGTAGAGGTGAAAATGAATACAGGAAACTGAGGAAAAGATTCAGTAATGGCAAAGCTCTCAGAATGAGGAGTGAGACTCAAAAATGATTATTCCTGATTTAATAACATTTGCTTTGCTCAGTGATCACCAACACAAAGAGTGCAGATAAATAACATTTTCCTCACCTTTCTGCTGTGGACAGGATAGATCAGGAGCTGCAGGGGGATATCCTCTTCATTTATTTCACTCACCTGTTAGGACATGTTTCCCATAAGAGGCACTGTAAGATCAGCTGTTCCCTGGAGATGTGAAACCTGGAAACTCCTTCATAAAGGTTTTGGAGTGAAACCCCTCTGACTTTATTGCTCACCTCTTCTGGAGTAATGAGAACAGAATGTGGCACAAAACAGACCAAGCAGCAGAATTCTTTCTGTGGAGTAACTTTTTTTCTTGTAATCATTTACACCATTGTTAATTGTGCGTCATTTGCACGTTAACCTAAAGCATTTTGGGTCTTCTTTTGCCTCAACTTTAACCATTTAAGTACATCACAAATTCATCATGATGAAGAGGAATTATAAAGAGATGCATTTTCCCTTTAGCACTGAAAGAGTTTGAGATTGTTACAGTGGTAGGTTTTGGATGTTAATTATTTGCTGATACCCACCTCAGGACAAACATACCTTCGTATTAATTTCTCATTTATTTGTAATTCTCAAAGCAATGTAGTTTCACCCATTTTTTTTTTTAAGGAAAATGTTTATACAAACTGTAGTAAAAAAAATTAGACCTCTGTATGCACCTGAGTCTTTCTCCCATTCCACAGTTTGAATCACTTGCATTTCCTTCCTTTTGAAAGTTTGTAGGTTGATGGCAAAATGGTTCCAATACCACATATCCTCAAGAATGTTTTCTCCTTTTTCTTCCACAGTTTTTTTCCCCTGATGTTCTTGTTCTTCTCTGGGTCATGACAACCCGCTCTGTGTCTTGTATTATTGCTGGCACACATGATGGAGAGTTTCTCTCCACATTTTCCAGATCACTCTTGCTCTTTTTACACCTTTGCCCACTCTTTGTTCTTTAGAACCTTTCTCTGGATTTTCCCAGTGACTGTCTTTGGCAGCTCCTTAACAAACTCCACCTGAAAGGCAAAAATGCTCCCTATAGCCAAAGATCTTGTGGGTAATTTCCCAGGTGCAACAAAAGATTGTGAAAACACTTTTAGCATGGGATAGCTGGGGATGAACAGATGGGAAGCTGCACAACCAGGGCTGGAATGGTGAATTTCCTTACTACACCTTGTAGCTGCTGCACTGACAGTACTTGCAGGGAGATGTACCACCATCTCTAGGAGCTGAGTGCTGCAGCTTTCAGGACAGGGAGCTCCTGGTGGCTTTCCTAGTGAGAAGAGATGGGTTCCAACCCACTGATGCCAGCAGGAACTTTTGCTTTGATTTAGCTGTCTGTCAGAGGAGGGCTCAAGGTAGAACTGGTTAGAATGGAATGCCTTGCCCATTTGAGCTGCTGTGAAAACTCCAGCACTCCATGAAAGAAAGTATGGGCCATCATGAAGTAAAATTTCACGACCATTGCCTCCCTCTGGTTCCATTCTAGCACACACAGCCAACCCAAGGCTGCAGCTGCAGCAGACCCTGTCATCTACTTTCATTTTATCTAACTCTGGTTGGAGTGTTTGTCAGAAAGGTGTTGAAGAAGAGCTGAAGCAGGAAAAAAAATGCACAACTTCAGGTACAATGAGAGAACCTGTCTTTTTGGGCTGTACTTACCTTCCTTGGATACTTGTATGGTGCAGTCACCTTCTTGACATGTTGTTGAAGCTCATGAATTAATTTTTCTGGATCATGTGATACAAAAGCAGGAGCTAAAACAACGAAAGCTTTGACCACCTGTGAACCACAAATGAAAGGGTTCCATTAACTTCCAGAGGTGGCAATAAATGAATACATTTGTTGTGAAAAGTGAATGTCAAAATTCAGAATGCCAAATAATTTTCTTTAATTTCCCTTTTCACTAGCTGTTTGTTATCAACTGCTGTGTTATGAAGGACACATTCTGGAGAAGAGAATGTTTTTCTATTTTCTACTTTTTTTCTAACTTTATACATTAAACTTTCAAAAAGTTCTAGTACAGAAAATAAAGAGAGATTAAAATCTTGTCCCAGTTGCTCAAAGAAACGTTGCAAGGTTGGAAAAATATAAAGCAAAAATTCAACACTGTGGATATCATTGCCACCATATGCTTAGTGGTAAATGAGAAATAATCAAAATTTCATTGCTTAGACAAAAAGATCACATGATTAGTCTGAAAAACCAATTTTTTTCCCCACATAAAACCCTGCCAAGAAATAATTCTGATATTGTAACATCTCTCAAGGTGTGGATTCAAAAGTTTGCAACACTGAATTCCAAGAAGCCTAGTACTTATAAGGAAGTTGATACTTAGTAGAAAGGGTATTTCTTTTACATTAGTTTCCTATTTTGCTTTACCTCCCCTCGCACTGGGTCGGGACTGCTGACCACAGCCGCCTCCACCACTGCTGGGTGCTCTATCAATGCACTCTCCACCTCAAAGGGGCCAATGCGGTACCTGGGGAGCACAGAGACAGCTCAGCCCAGCAGCAGGGACCAGTCCTTGGCCTTGCCAGGCTGCATTTCATCAGGCAGATCTAACAGGAGATGCCTTACCCAGCAGAGTTAATGATATCATCAGCTCTTCCAACAAACCAGATATATCCCTCTTTGTCCATAACACCTCTGTCCCCGGTGAGATAAAAATCTCCTCGCACAGAGGCAGCAGTTTTCTCTGGATTATCCTGCCAACAATCAAACATTTCCAAAAAGTTATCTTATTGCTAGTGAATTGTAATGCATTTCCTTAGCAGTGATGCTAAAAATGAACAAAAAATTGTACTCAAAATGAGTGTGTTCAGTACTGCTTTATATTTTCACTGAGGTGTCACTACCTCAAAGCCATATGATCCTCTACATGTGAGGGGTTTGTCCTGTAGCTTGTGTTTGTGCTGTTGATCTTGTGCACATGTTGTGTGTGACAGGCATCTGTACAAAGGTTTCTCTGACTGAGTGCCTGATGGAATGGGGGTACCTCTGACAGTGGAATGAGGGAATAAAATACCTTTGCCTTGGAAATCCTCCATGAGCTTCTGATGTGTAAGAGTAGAATTTATGGGCTGTTCTTCAATAATTTTCAAACAAAGATAGGAATGGAAGAGAGGAAAAAGAGTGATGCTCTGAACATGAAGCACATGGCACATATCTGGAACAAGGTATCCCCTGGTTCACGTTGCATTTTGAAGCTACAGTCAGTCAGTCTGTTCCTGAAACTATGCACTGATCAGGCTCAAAGTCCTCACGTAACCCAGGGAGACTTTCTGAGAATTCTGCATGGAGTTGTGCTCCTGGCAGACCTTTGCCCTGGTGTCTCCTGGGTGCCTGAGCAGCCACAGGCACAGCAAGTCAGGCTCACCAAGTACTCGGAGAACAGACAGAAGGGACGCTTGGGCTTCACCCGGACAGCAATGGTGCCCTCTTCTCCTTGAGGCACCACAGCCCCTTGCTCATCTACGATCTGCAGAAAGGACACACACAGCAGGGCTGCTTTGATCAGCTCACAGGAACATCTGCTGCAGCTCAGTGCAGGCCACAGAAGGGACACAGCACTGCCTTACTGTTCTATCCACATACCTGCACATCATAAGGGGGAACAGCTTTTCCCAAAGAGCCAGGTTTAATTTTCATTCCTTTCATATTGGCACAGATTGTCACCTGCAGAACAGATTTTTTAAAGCTTTTTAAAAAATTGTTGCAATATCTTGTAAATTTTATTATTTGCATTAGAAAGGATTCCTTTTTGTGACTTTGTTGTGACAAGGGCTGAATCGGGACCAAAGCGCTGTGGTTCTCAAGAACATCAGAGTCTGGGATGTGAGCTGCTTCAATATTTTTCATTAAAACCTCACACTGGAGAAATTGATACCCAGAGCAAATAATGTATTTAGTTTTGCTTTTGAAGTAAAGATGGTGAAGGATTTTACTACCAGTAATTACATTTATTGCAAACGTACTGTTTCGGTCTGGCCATATCCTTCATGGATATCCACCCCTGTCTGGGCTTTCCACTGGGAAAACACTTCAGGATTGAGAGCTTCCCCTCCAGTTACACAGTGCTTCAGACTTGGGAACTTGTACCTTGAGAGGAAGAGCAAATGAAATAATTCTCTTAACTCTTGCAAAGAGCAGTAAATAAATTTAACCGAACAGCCTTCCTCAGCTTTCCAAGAAAGTACACCTAAAACTTCACAAGCTCCTTTGGAAATGACAATCATCACCCTGTTATGCACACCTTGACTAGAATGCTAGACTGCTTGAGTTGCCACTGCAGATGATGTGGTTTATCCCTGTGGCAATAGAAGTAGGTTTTTCTGCTGGAAAATGCATGAGCAAAAGTGTTTCCGTGGGAGAGCTGACATAAAAGGAGGAATCTGAACAAGCACACCAAATGTCTGTGGAAAGCTCAGTTATGTGCCAACATCTAAGATCTAGTATAACACAGAGAATTTTCTAGAGCAAAGGGAAGGATAAATAGATACACAGAGGCTGAACTCTGCTAAAACCTGGATTGGCTTTTGGCAGGATGAAAGACCTATGTGACAAGAATGAGTACCTTACCAAGATGTGAAAACCCCTTGAAAACCCCTTCTCACAAGCTGGGTATTTTACAGAGTAACAAGTCAGGAAGAACATCTGCCAAGTAACTCTCAGCATGTGGAACTCCTCTAACTGGTCCCTTCATTCCCAAGCATGTGGGAACAACTCCATGGTGCACCAGTAACTCCCTGATCCAATGCTGCCCAAAACATTGACTTCAATTGAACTGTGAAGCCTAAATTCAGAGGAAGTGACAGCTTAAAAAAAATCTCCTTTGTTTCCTCTGTGCTGTCTATTCAAAGAGCCAGTCCTGAAGCCCAGGTAGCCTATGGTGTGGCTAATTCTTCTCACATTTGAAAACAGAGAGTGTTCTTTACTGAGAGCAAGCTGTGCTAATTAGGTTTCCTTGAACTGTAAAAGAGAATTAAGGAACCTAAGGAACTAAGCATGCAGAGGTGTCCCAGCATTGTACCCCAGCCTCCCTCCCCTCCCTGCTGTACCTGCTCACATCATGTTTGACCAGCATGAGGAAGGCAGTGGGAGCTGTGCAGAAGGTGGTGATGGGATATCTTGAGAGAGTCTAGAAAAATAAGAAATTATTGTGCTGAAAAGAAAGTGTAATGCTGGGTCTGACCTTGTGAATGTGCAGGTGATTAACAAAAGAGGCCAATTTTGAGGGGCATCAATCAGCTGATTGGTTTAAAGTGCCTTAAGGGAAGAATAAGCACTCTGGCAACTCACTGAAAATTCAGGAAAACAGAACCTTAATTCAGGTTTATGCCATATTCTGAATACTGGCCCATATTCAGCCTGTCCCCAAGGCAGCTGGAAGTCCATACCTGAAGTAAGGTTTGGATTCAATATTGGGCAACACAGCAGTGATCCCAATACCTTTATATCCTGCATCTTTTATCCAGTTGTTCTCTACACTCAAACCATGACACAGGGCCTACCCAGGAGGGAAAACACTTGTTCCTTGAGCCTATGGGTACCAAATGGAGGGATGATTTCTTGGGATGTGGGAAGTACTATCCCTGCTGCTACTAAGCAATGGCACCCATGGACTGGATTCCAGTTTGTTTCCTTCACTTTTGTAAAATGGAAATAAATATCACAGTATAAAATGTCACGTTTACCTCTGCAATAACTTCTGGTTTAAACTGTGGCATATTGTGTATGAAGACACAAGATCCGCAGATCCATGGTGCAAAAACACTGCTCCAAGCTGCTTTTACCCAGCCAGTGTCAGAGGTATTCCACATTATATCTGAAGGAGTCAATTTCAACCAATGCCTGATGAAAGAGCAGAGAGGAAAGAAATGCTGCAGAGAATGTGAGAGGGTCAGGCCCAGGTCACAGCAGGAGGCTGCCATTAGAATATGTGGTGTCAGCAAGTGGGACTCTGTAGAAAGTTTGAGAGAGTTGAAGAGTCTTAAATATTCTCTGATTTCCCTTCCTTCCCTCCTGCTTAATGTTTTGAGCATTTATTTTTCTTGTGAGCAGTGCAAGACATCTTCATCTTGAGTTGCAGAATTTAGATCTAGAGCAGAACCCAAACAGATCATCTGGAATAGGCTTTCCCCACCTGGTGCAGTTGAGACATCAGCTAAGTCACAACTCATTTCTCCAGGAAACTAAACAAGTTACTTTTCTGGCCCCTTGATCACCAGCTTCCAACTCAGAATGCTTTGGGAAAGGTATCCTTTAATTTTCAAGATGAGGAAGATGCAAGATCCTACAGTCATAAAATGCCTGCATGTACTGCAATGTTATGCCTCATGTTCAGTTCAATGCTGATCACAGCACTTAATCAGGACCCTGGAGGGAACTGCAAGGTAATACCTGCCAGTGGTTACAAATCCAATGCCGTAACTGCAGTAGGAATGCAGCACCATTTTTGGGAAGCCTGTAGTTCCGCTGGTAAAATAGATCAGCATTGGGTCTTGACTTCTTGTCTTGACACACTGATGGTCAGCAGATGCAACCCTTCAGAAAAAATGATATATTCCAGTCACTATGTGCAGTTTTCCACCAGGGCAACAGCATTTTTATAGTTTAGGAGTTCAACAGGAAAATTGCCCAAAGTGAACGATCTCACAAAATAAGTGGTAACACAGGTAAGAACAATTAGAGAACACATTTTGCTTGTAATGAGTATGCCCTGTATGCCAGAACTTTTGAGATATAAGCACCTGCAGAATATTTCAGTGACTTTGTCTGCAACTGTTTTAGCAAGGGCACTCCAGGTGCTGATTATGGAACAGCAACCAGAAACCAATGAAGAAAAACCAGCCTCCACTAGAAATCAATAACTAAGGTTATTATGCCAAGTACATTGATCTTATTACAAATAGTAGGTCATTAATGTTCAAGAGACTGATGGAAAAATCAGATCCTTTGAGCTACCAGGATCATATACGAAAGAAAGAACTGAGCACCAAGAGCTGGCAATGGGTATTTTCCCATTTAATCAAGAGCCATTAGAACAGGCTCCAGCAGACAAGCTCATAACAATTGTTTAGAGCTCTGTGTGCTTGTCTGGTGGTCACAGTAGAAGCAGAGAGCTTCTAAAAACTGGCAGGCTGCTAAGTGAAGCTGAAGGACATGAACTAAGCTCCCAAAACCTGGATTGGACGAACCTCTACCAGTATAGTCACAAATCAAGGAGTTGACAGAGGGGTGCAAAAATGTAACTTACTTGTATTTTGAAAATTACCTCCACAACTCAGCAATGTCACCTGAATGATACAGCTCCCAAAAGCTGGAAGAACTGGAAAGAAAAGAGCTGGATACTCACGCAAGGAGTTCTTTGAAGTTCAGCCACCCATCCCTGCTCCCCTGGCCTACAATGAGTTTGGTTTTCAGGAACTGGGTGTCAGACAGGACAGATTCCACTGTAGGTGCCAGGGCATCATTGGTAACAATGCACTTGGCCTTTGAAGCCTGGAGTCGGTATAAGATGTCTTTGGCAGTTAGTTGGGATGTTCCTGGAATAAGGACAATTCCTGGAAAAAAGCAAGAGGGAATTGAGAAAACTCAGCATTTCCCAAAATGACTTGATTATGTCTCTCTGTTGATGCTGATTTTATCCATCATGGATGTTTATGAGTTTAAAAGCAGAGCAAAATAGATCTATTGAATTATTAATGACTCCAATCATATAAGTTCTCCATTATAAATTCAGCTCCCTTCCAATGTATGTGGCCAAGTGTGGCCTTTGATTGCAGCCATTCAGCCCTCACTGGCTGAATTCACTGATTTTGACTGGACCATGTCTGTGCTTGCTGTGTGGGTGCAGCCAATTCTCCCTCTAGCCAAAAGAGCAGCT